TACAACCCCCACTGTCACAAAGTGTCCCTGGTAAAAGTGTAAACAGGCACAGCCTCACTCACCCCTTTACCTTTGGGGACAGTCACCGCTGGCTTGCCTTCCTCCTCCATCGGGCAGCGTTAGCGGTTTCTTCCCCCACAGACTGTCCTGGTATTCGAGCTCCGCAGGTCCAACACACCTCACAGCAGAGAGCGCGCAGCGGAAGTGAGGCAACAAGCCTCGACGGAAGCGAAGAAATCACCCGCGACCGGAAGTGACGACATGCGCCCCAAGACGAGGCTTGGAACACACCGGAAGTGCCTCTCAGTCCACTGCCCGCTCGATTCACCGCTCCAGCATGCCGGACACCGCTACAGAACCCCACTACCAGCTCCCCTACATCAAGCAGGGGGAAGCAGGACAGGGCCACCGGCCTGGGGGCCTCAGGAGTGGATCCTTTAAGGGAAGAAAGGAACCAGATCCTGGCCTTTCAAACAACATAGGGAAAAACACCCCTCCGCTCTACAGCAAGGCCAGAAGGGAGGGAAAACACCTTCAACAGCAGAGCCGCACAGAGGGGGATCCGTGACCTCAAGGCCAACCGGTCAGGAAGAAAAAGAACAAACGTGACGTGGTCCTGGACGGTAGGAAACACAATCTAAACTGAGGTACGAGGGGAAGGGGAGGGGCTTTTAACTGTTTTGCTAATTGTGTTTCCTGTAGAAGGTGGAACCAATCATCTCTCAGGTTGCTGTCCTGGAAGATGATTGGGGAAATTTAAAGCATTAACAACAGCATACAAAGTCCTCCACAACTCTGCCCCTAGCTACATCACCAACCTCCATTCAAAATATCACCCAAAACGCCCTTTATTCTCCTCCCAAGACTTCCTGCTCTCTAACTTGGCATGCTCACCTCCAGGTCTTCTCCAGAGACACTCCCATCCTCTGGAATTCCCTTCCCCAATCTTTTCAGCTATCTCCTACTCTGCCCACCTTTAGGCCATCCCTGATAATTAATCTCTTCGGGTAAATCTACTTTCTCCATCAGCTCATTCCCTCTCCATTTTTACCTTTTGTATAACTTGCTCCTCCAATTTAAATGGTAAGCTCCCATGAGTAGGACCCTCCTAACCCTCTTGTCTTGATTTTTATTGTAACTGTATTGTATCCCTTTTATTGTGAATAAACTGCGCAAACTGTTGGCGCTTTATAAATCCTGAATAATAATAGCAATAATAGATCACGGGCGGCTATGTTGCTCCTCCATAGATAGAGTGGAGGAGCGTAGCCACCCTAAGACAAGAAGTGTATTACTGACAGGATCATGAGGTACAAATAAAGGGAAATAAAGAAAACAAATGCAGCCACCACATCTAAGGACTAGCAAACTGCAATATATATATATATATAATAAACAAGCTTATAACATCTGATGACTTTTTAATCATCCCCACTGTAGAGAAGACACAAAAAGAATCAGGATGTCAGAATCTCAGAGCTCAAGGCTTGTAATGTTATTGAAACAACTTATATAAGAGGTGATGAGGGGGCAGTTAGGTTTCTGTGAAATGTGTCATTTTCCCACTTGCAGATATCAAGGCATTATTACACAATTACACAGGTTGAGGAAAAAAAGACCTTTGTGCATTGAGATCAACTTGAAAGTGTCTTTGTATTAAAAAAAAAAAAGAAAGAACACAAAAAAATAAAAATCAAAGCTACACAGTAAGGGAATATTCCTTTGCCCAGACTCCTTTGCTGCTCTGATCCACTGATTCATCCCCCAAAATCCTGGATCCTACAAATACAAAAGGAACACACGACATTACCAATTACCAGGCATGAATGTTGGAGTGGGGAGTGGGTCAGGCTTAGACCTGTGCAGGTTTAGTTTTTTTAGAAAGCAAAAACACAAACATGACTTTTGGAGGATGCTGAAGTAGGTGGCAGGAAGGTGGCAGTAAATCTACTGAAAAGCCCCAATATCTTACCTAAAACTTCAGTCATGTGACCAGCCTGGGAACAAAATGTTGTTCCCCCCCATGCTGCTTTAAAGTGACATTGAAGGATAATCCCCCCCCTCCCAAGTGTACCTTAAATGATGTCTCTTGATCCGATCATCTTCTTTCCAGTAGTTTCCAAGAGTCCTTCCACGCTGGCGCTGGTCTCCGATCCAGCGCTGACTCCTCTCTCTTAACTGGCACTTCCTGTCCCACGCATTCTGTGCGGGTGCGTGCTGCTGCGTCAACTTACCCTGTGTCTCTACTCATCCCCTGGCCGAAGATCTCTACTGTGCATGCGCCTGTCCCATGATCTTTTGCAGCTGCCCGGAAATCTTTAGATCTTCGGACGGGAGCGCGCGGCGAAGACGCAGGTAAGCTTTAACCTTTTTGTTAAAAAAATTGAAAAAAAGTTATGTTTTCGCATATATCTCCTGTATGCTAGCAGTAGATATATGCACAAAAACCCACAAGGGGTTAATTACCTTTTCACTGGAGTTGTTGATGTTTGATTCATACATTTCCTGTATCTTGATTTTATGTACCTACAAAGATACCCCCAAGAGTAAAACTTCCTAAAGACACAATTTCTATACCTGTACCGCCATCTAGTGGAGACATTTCATATCTCACCGACCGTTCTGACAGAGGCCAAAATATGAATCTCACAATAAAGTACTAAAGCAAAACTCCAGCCAAGGTTTTTTTTTCTTCTAGTTTTGGGAAAAGGTCGCGACCTCTGTCAGCTTTGTTTTTTTCCTTTCTGCTCTGTTTTCTTTCTGTTCTGATAGCCATCAAAGAAGACAGGAAGTAGGGATGCACCGATACGAGTATTGGTGCTGAGTATGAGTATTTGGGCAATGCTCCCAAATGAGCCTGGGGGTACAGGGGTCATCTAGGAGGTGAGCCTAGGCGTACAGGGGGTATCTAGGAGGTGAGCCTAGGGTTACAGGGGGGCATCTAGAGGAAAGCCTGGGGGTACAGGGGGGCATCTAGAAG